AAAACTGAAAACAAATATTGAGCTGTAGTTAATAGATTTGTCTCCTGTTTCACAAAAATATGAAATAGATGTAACGTGACAACCCCAAATCTGAGACGGCTTGCACATAATGTTACCTACTCCAAAGCCACCGGGAGGTCCAATAGGGAAAGACATTTGTTTATTAAAACCTACCAGAGGCACCAGTGATGGCAGGTAAGTAAAGAATCCATGCCTCAGGACAATGAAGCAGTTTTTATAAGCAAAGCATCAAGCTAATTCAAATTCCTATACGGTGTTTACAATTACACTGATTAAGAGTGCTGATTACCTTGTTTTCAGCTTTGCTTGGTCACCTGCATCCCATGACTAATTACAGGGAATATTCATGAGCTTCAAAGACTTGGCGAGACTACTTCCTGAGGGTGGGGGCAGAAAGAAGCCAGGCATGGGGGAACAGTCTCTGTCGGGACAATACCTTAAGATGTTCAGCAATTGTCTTTTGGGTCTTGTCGTATCAGGCAAATAAGGAAATTCAGTTCTCCCTTGGTGTACGTTTGGGATACCCAAATCTGTGAATTCTGAAATCTCACAGTTGGCCCCGTAGAACTCGCCCATACCAAAGTCAGCCCTGTAGGGGGAGGAGCGGGGGTTCACATTTCAAAAATAGCTATACATGGATCAGAGCAGTTCAAGGCCATGTTGTTCAAAGGTCAACTAGATTTTGAGGATAACGAGTCAGGTTTGTTATAGTTTGAAGAGCGGAAAGGTGAGTACCAGCAAGTACTCTATTGTATTGATTGTACTCTATTGTATTGTATTGGAATTGAAGGTATTGATATAAACTCATGATTTTTAATATATCAGTTTCTATGTGTATCTATTATTTATCTATAGACAGAAGCTTAGTACATTCCACCTTAACCCAATAATCAAAATGAATCTCATCATTGATGGTAAAAATGTACGTATGTACTTGCTCCTGGCATTCCTGTCCAAAAGCCATCACCTGAATCTCCTCATGAGGAAACATCAGCAAAACCTAAATTGAAGAACATGTTAACAAATATCTGGTCTAATCTTTTTTAAAAATATCAAGGTCATCAAAAATAAAAAAGATGGAAAAACTGTTCCAGATTAAAGGAGAAAAAAGAAACATGACAACCAAGTGCCATGTGTGATGTTGGATCAGACACTAGATAAAAAAGAATTATTATTATTATTGTTATTATTTTTGCCAAAAAAGGAACTTATTGGGACAACTGACAAAATTTGAATAAGTATTTTTGATTAGAAAATAGAATTGTATTAATGTTAATTTTCTGATTTTGATAATGTGCTTGTCTTGTAAGAGAATGCCCTGATGTATTCAGGTATAAAGGGGCATGATGTCTGCAGCTTACTCTAAAATGGAAAAGGTTGTGTATGTGGGGAAAATGATAAAATGAATGTGGTAAAATAGAAAACAATTGGGGAATCTGGATGAAGAATAAATGAGTTATTTGTACTATTCTTGCAACTTTTCTATTAGTTCAAAATTATTTCAATTTATGCAGCAACAAAAAGGAATATTTAAACACCTAGGAGAATAACTGTTCTTTTGGAGTAATATAAGATTTTTTAATTCACACTCAAAACACAAGCCATAATGAAAAAAAATGATGTATTTGAGTAGAGTAGAATGACAAATTTATGTACAATAAAGAACCCTATACATGGAATTAAAAGACAAATCACAAACAATGAGAAGGTATTTTCTGTGCCTAGTATTAGTATTCAGTATATACAGAGGGTGCTAAAAAAATGGTATAAAAATTGTAATCCTCAATATATACCAATAACAAAAGATGAATACAGTTGCATTTGACTTCTGCAATTACAAGAGGTGCTCAAAGTGGTTACCATCAGTGTCCAGACACTTCTAATTATAGCAAACTACAAGTAATACATACATAACATCTTTTAAAATGTGCACACATTTTTATGACACCTCCAGTATGTGTGTGTGTTTGTGTGTGTGTGTGTGTGTGTGTGTGTGTGTCTGTATAACTACAAATGATTGATTAGAAAAATCAGCAAAGGATTTGAATAGCTGAGTCACAGAAGGTAACAGGCATGGGAAAGATAACCAATTGCTTTAGGAATTAGGGAGAAGCAAATTAAAATAACAATGGTATATTATTTCACACTGATTCAGATAATTGTCCAAAATTATGCAATTTTATAACACCCACTGTTGAAAGGATGAAGGGGGAAGGAGATTTTCTTAATTGGTTTCTCAATCTGAAGATCATGTAGTAAAATTTCACAAAGCTAAAGGTGTGTGTGCACTCCTATATGTAATTCTGCCTTTAGGTATGTGCTCAAGGTCATCTCCAAAGGAGCAGGTGGAAGGTCTTTTGTTGTAGCATTGCTGGTTACTAGTGAAAAACAGGAAACAATCTAATTGTCATCAACAAATGATAGCAGATGGATAAACAATTTGTTGTATAATCATACAATGCACTTAAAATTAATGAACTGAACGAGTGTCATCATGCAGAAATCTCAAAAACAAAATCTCAGGTGAAAAAAACAGGTAGCAGAAATGTATGGTGTAGAATTTATAAACACAAAAACAATAATAGATATTGGTGATGAATTAAAAAGGAGATATAGGCCGGGTGTGGTGGCTCACCTCTGTAATCCTAGCATTTTGGGAGGCCAAGGTGGCTGGATTGCTTGAACTCAGGAGTTCAAGACCAGCCTAGGCAACATAACGAGACCTCATCTCTACCAAAAAAGAAAAATTATCCATTCGTGGTTGTGCACACCCTTAGTCCCAACTATTGTGGATGATGAGGCAGGATTGCCTGAGCTTTGCCTGAGCTCAAGAGTAGGAGGTCAGCCTGGGTGACAGAGTGAGACCTCCACTCAAAAAACAAACCAACAAGCCGGGCTCCGTGGCTCAGCCTGTAATCCTGCGCCTTTGGGAAGCTGAGGTGAGTGGATTGCCTGAGCCCGCGGGTTCGAGACCCGCCTGGGCAGAGAGACCTCATCTCTATAATAAATCAAAAAAATCAGCCGGGTGTGGCAGCGCGTGCCTGTAACTCCGGCTACTGGGAAGGCTGGGGTGGAAGGATCACCGGAGCCCAGCAGGTCGAGGCTGCGGTGATCGGGAGCGGCCACTGCACTCCAGTCTGGGCGACAGAGTGAGACTCCAACTCAAAAAAACAAAAAACAAAAAAACCAACAACAAAAAAAACCAACAAAAAAGGAGATACAGTCCTTGCCCTAGAGCAATTTAAACATTTAAAGAAGAGCCAAGTAAACAGGTGATTACAATGTAGTCTGATAAAAGCCACAACTAAAATGGACACCTAATAGGATGAAGGAGGGAGCAGGAAGGTGAAGGAACCCAGAAATAGCAAAACCTTCCATCCTTCTCTCCCACGCTGAATCAAGTCCTGAAGGGGTCACCCGGGTGAAAAATGGGAAGGAAGGTTGTTTCTACCAGATCGGATCATTTGCAAAAGCCCAGGAGGATGAAACTGCAGAGCCTGGTTTGGAAACTGCCAGTGGTTTCTCAGAGCTGGGGTGGACAGGTGGAGGGGTGGAGGGGTGGAGGCGGGAAGAAATAGGGGGACAAAGATATGGAGGGCGTTGGTAGGTACCTTGACAAAGGCTCTTCAGACCAGGTTAAGTCTCGCTGCCTCCTGAAGGGGCGGGTTATTGAAGCAGAAGAGTAACAGTTGCATCATGAATTATAAAAAGGATGTCTCAGTAGGCAAGATCAGTTGGATTTTGTTTTTCTTTTTAAAAAACAAAACCATAGCCTGGCGTGGTAGCGCGCGCCTGTAGTTCCAGCTCCTCGGAAGGCTGAGGCAGAAGGATCGCCGGAGCCCAGCGGGTCGAGGCTGCGGTGGCTGGGAGCGGCCACTGCACTCCAGCCTGGGCCACAGAGTGAAACTCTGACCAAAAAAAAAAAAAAAAGGAACAAAACAAGGCAAAAAATAATGGGACCTCAGACAAGGGGGTGACTGAGAGCGTGTCCAAGCAGTAGGCCTCAGGGAACCATTAGCTGCAGGCATGGGGAGAGGAAGTGAGGATGTCCCTGGCCTTGGCATTCTTGGGTGTATGATGGAGTGTCAGGGGTCGCGTTTTGCATCACCCGTCTCTGCCCCTGGCCACTCCTGATTGGTTCAAATATAAAAATGTCAGGCTGGGTGCAGTGGCTCATGCCTGTAATCCCGGCACTTTGAGAGGCCGGGGCAGAAGGATTGCTTGAGTCCAGGAATTGGAGATCAGCCTGGACAACATAGTGAGACCTCTTCTCTCCAATAAAAATAAAAAAACTAGCCAGCGTCGTGGCACATGCTTGTAGTCCCAGCTACCGGGGAGGTTGAGACGGAAGGATCGCTGAAGCTCAGAAGGTCAAGGCTGTGGCAAGTCATGATGGTGCCACTGCACTCCAGCCTGGGTGACAGAGTCAGATGCTGATTCAAAGAAACAAACAAATGTCGAGGAAGGACTGAAGGCAGTGGTTACTGTTGGAATGAGTTTTTGTGTGAGGAAGGTGTGGCTTGAGATTCATCTCGAATGTTTTAATGACAAAATAAAAGCTCATGTAGACACAACATAGGAAAACGAACTTGAGTTACATCTCAGTGAGCGCGCGGATGTCGTATTATTTTCTTCTTTCCTGTATTTTGAAGTAAACTTAATAACCAAATGGCAAAAAATGTTGGCGACAGGAATCGGAAGAGCTGAAGTTCAAGGAAGGCTTTGCACTCTGTAAAGGGGTTAAAGCAGCCGGCAGGGGGTCGGGGAATGGTGTGGGGATCAGTCTTTGTGTGTGCACATTGCGTGTGCAGGGGACTCAAGCGACCCGGAGCTGGCCGCTGTGCGCAGGGCTGGGTGGGGGAGGGGGTGCGCACTGAGGTCCCGCCCCGCCCCGACTCCGCTTCCGCCTCGCGCCCCTCTCCCGCCCCGGCCCCTCCTCCCTCCGTGACGCCACCTCCCGTCTCCAGGTAACCTGGGGGTTAAAAGACGCGGCCCCGGGGTGGCCTCTGTCTGCCGTCCCCTCGCTTCTCAGACCCTTGGTCCTCGGACCCTGAGCCCTATGGCCTTGCCGCTGCTGCCCGGCAACAGCTTCAACCCCAACGTGAGTAGCCAGGGAGTCTGAGGTCCAGGCCGGGTTGGGACTTGGCCACCTCCCCGCGGACCTTACTGGAGGCCTCCTGTGGGTTTGGTGCAACTTGGACCAAACTTTATGGGCCTCTTTCCCCATCTCTCCCAACTGCGTCTGGATGCTTTTCCTACATTAGATACACAAATAGAGCCCTTATGGGTGGCAGGAACCTCAAAGGTGATGACGATGATAACCATTGAGCGTTTAATGCGTGCCTGGCACTGTGCTTTGGTGACCTTACGCGGCATTCAATATTCTCAACAGCCCTTTGAATTAGGTGCTATTTGCCGTTTTACTATTGAGATTGAGACACAGGGCTACACTGTCTCCATGGTGAAGGGGAGTTTCTTCCTTTCTTTTTTTTTTTTTTTTTT